GGTGATAGTAATTATTTAATAAAAAGAAATACAGACAAGCTTTAACGGTGGTAGGGCCAAGCAGCAGCCTCGGCTGTTGCATGAATGGGCAGGTTTGTCCGGGCAAGTACCACGGCCTCACAGAAGACCGCCGTCAAGTGGAAGTATAATACTTTCGCGTTTCGTCTGGTGAGTGAGGTGGCCGGAGCCCAATATCCAAAAAGGTTGTCAACGCATCTGCAAACCCTCGGGGGTAGCAGATGTCCATGGGCGGTGGTATTCACTTAATATCAGGTGAACCACCTACTCGTTTGGTAACTTTTCGCATAAAAACAAAAAGCTTTTGATTTTGTCTGTATATCTACTAACGGTAAGGTGAAGCTCAGTCGAAGACCGGATTTTGCCGCGTTATTTTAGACCTGTTTAATATTTATGATTCTTGGGCGGTAAGATAAAACAAAGAAATGCGGCACAACAATTTTCTTAATGAGAATCTTATTTATTCCGTTTGGCTTGGCGTGTCGACGTCAGTTGAATAAACGTTTGGTGTATTTATGCCGATCAAAGATGGATAAAGTTTGGAAAGATTTATCCATCAAATAATTCTCTTCAACTTATAAGTTTACGGGAATAAAGATGGGCGACGAAGTTTTGTTTAAAATTTAAATACTCGTGAAGGAAAACATCGTGAGGAAACTAAATTTTCGAAATAATAATTAAAAATAAAACCGAAAAGATGTGAAATCCAGAAGTCAAAAGTCGTAGACTATACCCTAAAACAGTCTGTAAAGAGTGAGCCTTTGCCCAGCAGTGGGACATGTATAGGCTGTCACTTTTACTGATTTAAATGCTTGCCTAGGAAAAAGGTTTGCTGAACATAAAGTCGAGCCTGTAGCTAGACGGCCACGGATAAATTTACTGATGCTCCATAACGAAAGACAGTGTATATTATTTATATATTTGTTTATATACTTACATGATTTACATATTTATATTTGTTTATATACTTACTAATATTATAAACGCGAAAGTTTGTATGTATGGATGGATGTTTGTTACTCTTTCACGCAAATACTACTTAATGGGTTTTAATGAAACTTTACAATAATATAGCTTATACATCAGAATAAGACATAGGCATAATTTATAGACATATTTTTATGTACATATGTCTTTCTGTCTGAATGTTACGCCTTCAGCCTATTCTACGCAGACGGTAGTCGCGGGCAGCAGCTAGTATTCAATATTATTTGAACCTAAAACTGTCAGTGGCTTAAAAAATCATTCCTGATTGAACTGATTGGATTTATTGCACTCAGAGGCCGCAATTAGTGAAAAGTTATTTTCTATTTCACTATTAATAACTTACAACTGGAGGCTCGAACCGTGAAACTTCCAAAAAAATTATACGGCGAAATTTAAACTACATAAATAATGTAAATCCGTTTTTGTTTATAATTTTAGATCTTAAGATGTACCTACGTACGATGTAACAAAGAGCTGTGGATTTTGTGTGAAAATAAAAAAATTAAACTAATTAGTGTTCCGTACCCAAAGGGAAAAACGGATTAATTTCGACCACTGGACGATTACTAGTAAATATATATATATATATACAGCGTGTCTTTACCATCGCGACAATAAATGAACACTCGTCTAACGCTACTTGCCAATAATCATAAAAAAATATTAACGTTAAACAAAATCCATAATTAAAAAAATATTTTTCAAACAAACTAATTAAGTAAAAAAGAAACAAATTTCGTAACATCCTATACAACTACAACTGACTGATTCATACATTCAGAGACTTTTTCATTCGTTGCCAGAGCGCCGCATTACAAGCCTGTCCTTCTAACAGTATGTTTTGTCTCTTTTAAATTCATTCCACCCATTCATATGCTTTGTGACCTTATAAATGAACTTTACATTAAAGTTTTATACGTAAGGGTGTTCTAAAATTGTTTGTTTTGGAAAATTTAATAACTCTGTAAATTTTGATGTTTGAAGAATGTAAATGTTTAATACAATTTAATAAAGTTATCCTCTATATGAGTGTTCATTTATTGTCACGATGGTAAAGACACGTTGTATATACAGCGTGTCGTAATATTTACAGAGTTATTAAATTTTCCAAAAAAAAAAAAAAACAATTTTAGAACATCCTTACGCATAAAAATGTAACGTAAAGTTCATTTGTAACGGTCACAAAGCATATGAATGGGTTGAATGAATTTAAAAGAGACAAAACATACTGTTAAAAGGAGAGGCTTGTAATGCGACGCTGTGGCGCGAGTAGTATAGGATGTTACAAATTTTGTTTCTTTTTTACTTAATTAGTTTGTTTGAAAAAAAAATTTTTAATTATGGATTTTGTTTAACGTTAATATTTTTTTATGATTATTGGCAAGTAGCGTTAGACGTGTGTTCATTTATCGTCGCGATGGTAACGACACGCTGTATACATATATACAAATTTACACGTGTACATGTACATCTGAAACAAGTGCATATCGTCCATTCAATTATACAAAATGTACTTTACAATTATTCCTAATAAGACGCTAATACAAATTTAATTTATAATCACTCTTAATAAAACGAATTTGTATGAAAACAATAACGTAAACGCTATCTCAATTATTGGAGTGTTAAAATCGTTTCAACCC